AACACTGATAAATTTGAGCATCTCTGAACTTAAAGTTCCTGTACAGAAAAAGGAAAACATGAACAAGAATAAAAGACAAATGGAAAATCTAACATTTCTGCAATGTCAGAAAGATAGTTGAAACCTCATGTATGTGAAGGATTCTCACAAAAAGGTAAAATATTTAAATATGGAAAGAACTTAAAGTATCACTTCTGAATAAAAGAAATACTAATCAGCCAGGCACAGTAACAAATGCCTATACTCTCACCATGGTGCCACCACCATAAGGCCATCATCAGAGGCAGGACCAATGGGAGCTTCTGATCTTGGACTTTTAACCTCCAAACCTATGAGCTAAATAATCCTCTTTAAGTAACCAGCATCTGTTATTTTGTTATAGTTAATGAAAAACTGATTTATACAAGGATAACACTAGGCAAAGTATAAGTTTAATACATGTTAGTTGAATGTACCATTTGGGATAATTCAACTCTTAATTCTATTTATAAAATATAGATTGTAGCTACTTTGGTCATTTTTGATGTTACATCTACCAAACTACATAAGGCAGCCTCTAAACTTGGTATAAAATAATCCCAAAAAGTTTCCTGAATGAGTCACCAAAATAGGTGAAGGGGCCTTCTAATATAGAGGCTGCCTCCCCTGCTTGCTTCTGAATCCTGAGGGCTTATATGGGAAAGGGCAGACTTCAGAAGACTGTAAAACAGGTCATAAGAGAGATGGTTTAGCTGCTTTGTTAGTTTGGATCGGAGAGTGGAGATAACTGCCACGCCACTGGTGATCAGGGAGGCGAGTGGGGCAGAGAAGATGTGCACAGGTATTGCTGGGGGTTAGGGATGGATTTCCCCATTGACATCCCTTTATGATTCTTTTGTAAAGATTTAGAATGCTTTTCAATGCTCTCCCCCCATGCTGGGCTGTCTCACTTGCTGCCCCAAGGGAGCAGCCTTGCTGTGTCACCCACACCCTGCACTCCTTAGCCATGCCACCTCAGACTGTGAGGGCCTCCACTGCAAAGCTGGGTGAAGCCCAAAGACAGGCAAGCACTGAAAGAACTTGACCATCCACAGGAGGTACCAGAAATGCAAGCATCACTGAACCAAGGGATGCCTGGTGTCACAGACCCAATGTCTGTGTCCCTCCAAAATTCACATGCTGAAATCCAGATCACCACACAATGCTATAATATTTGGATTTGGGGCCATTGGTAGTAATTAGGTCAGAAGGGTGGTGCACTCAGGAAAGGGATTTGTTGCCCTTTAGAGGTTGCATCTGCAAGCCAGGCACAGCCTCACCAGAATAACCATGCAGCACCTTATTTTGAACTTCCAGCACCTTATTTTGAACTTTTCCTCCTCTGTGAGGAGGAAATTCCTGTTATTTTCAATCCCTCTACAGTATTTTGTTACAGCAGCCAGAACTAACACCTGGCTAGGGACAAGGGGCCTGACTTCTGGAAATTTCCCTGAATGAGGGCAATCCCTGACCTATCAGTAGAGGCCTTATACTGGTCCCTTCTGTATTTTAGTGAATCTAATGTTTCTATAGAAAAAGTATTTTCCTTTCTTGGGCTACATACTCATGACTCCTCTTATTTCTGTTAATGACTGAGAACTAAACATCAAGACTTTTTTTTTTCTTTTTTGTGTACTGCAGATTGACCTCTGAGCTACATCCCCAACCTTTTTTATTTTGAGACAATATGTCACTAAATTACTGAGACTGGCCCCAAATTTACAATCCTCCTGCCTCAGCCTCAGCCTCTTGAATAGCTGGGATTACAAGCATGTGCCACCACACCTGGCAAAACAATTGTTTTTCAAGAGGCATCTGTATTAAACTTATATAGTCATTAGAGTGGGCAAACATATTACTGAGTAATATATAAACATTTTTCCTTAACTGATTTAACAGCCTCTTTTAAGGAATAAGAAGAGGAAGAACTAAATGAAAGGAAAAGCCAATTCCTAGCTGCCACATGCCCTGTAGATGGCAGTGACTCTCACAAGGTGGTCCACAGCCCAGCCATATCGGATTCACAGGGGTAATTAAAAGTACAAGTGACTGGTCTCTAGCCACAGAATCAGTGCATCTGGATAGAGTCCAGGAATCCATGTCATAGCATTGCACTAGCAATCCTGATAACCGCCAAAGTTTGAGAACCACCTCCAGGGAAAGGCCAGTCAGCTCCTGAGAGTGACAGCCCCTACCAGATGCCTGGAGCAGCTTCCCTTACCCCACAACCAGCAATATCCCAGGAGTCGGCACAAGCTTCCCAGATCCCAGCTCTCACAATGCAAACCCATTAAGAAAAGCAAAGTATCCCAATTGTACGGTGACATAATTTAACTGGGATTAAAAGTAGGTCACCAGCACAGTGGCACTTACCTGTGATCCCAGGATTCAGGAAGCTGATGCAGGATGATCACAAGTTTAAGGTCAGCCTAGGAGGTGTAGGGAGACCCTGTCTTAAAAACTAAAAGGGGCTAGGGGTGTAGCTCATTGTAAAGTGCTGCCTGGGTTTAATCCCCAGTACCATCACACACACAAAAAAAAAAATTATTAAAAAAAAAAACTCCTACTCCCTCTTTCCAACACACCTCAAGTCCTTTGAGGACAGCAAAGGTCCAACTGGCACTTACAGACATTGCCCCAATGGCCAAGCACACCGCTGTCTTATCTCAGCTGTTCAACAGCATGAAGTGAATTGAGATATTTGCTCCTGAGGAGCGTAGACTTCACACAATAGTAGTAAGGGATGTTTGGATAGCATTTTTAAAAGGCTTAACTCTGAACCCAGGAGGAAAACTCAAAAGCAACATCCCTTACTCTTCCCAGCCAAGTGGCTCCTCCTTGCCAAGTGACATTAATGCCCTCACATGATCGTCAAGCATCGTGTTTTAAACAGTAACACTACCACCTCTTTGGGTTTTGTGTTTCTGATTTCATCCTGTCCAGGCTCTTCAACATTTGCACCTTATTGTCTTTAACAATAAAGGCTTCATCAGGACTCACACCCATAAAAGAATCTTTTGATTAAGGAGAACCGTTTTCTTGAATAGCATTTGGCCTTGGACTTTTATTCATTATTATTGTTCTCATCTAGTATTCATTTTGTGTCAAATATTTCTCTGGATATTTTGCATTTATTCATGTCTTTTAACACTCGGAATAAACCCACTTAGTGGTGCTATTATTCATCCCCTTTCCCAAGGAGGGTGCCCAGGAGGAGCAAAGGTGTAAAGAGCCAAGAGCCCATTGCTGGCCCCAGGATGCTGGGAGCAGAGCCCTGTGGGCCAGAGCACCTGGTCTCAGTTGGTTTCTTCCTCAATCCACAAACCCACCAAAAGCAAGGTGGCCTTTGGGTAGCCCAAGTCCCCAGGAAGAATGTTCCAGGTGGCTGAGAGCCCAGAGAGTCCATTCCCAATGGAAGCTGGGGAAATGACCCAGCTGGTCATTCAGCCTGGTCATCCAAACCGAGTAGTTAACTTTTTTCTTTTGCCCTTTTCTGAAAATAAAATAAATAGTCACAAAGGAATTTTGAAAAACAAAGACACAAAACAAAAGCAGCCCCTATTTTAAAGACAGGTGGGTGGAGAGAAAACACTCCTAAGAGTTAAAAACTTAGTGGTCACAAATTCCTGTTAAATGACAGGAAATGCATGTCAGGGTCTGCTCCGCCCACAGCAGCTCTTTCTCTGAGAATTTCACCTCCATATCTATGGTTATTCACAGTCCTGGCTCTTGACCACCCTGATGCACCTCAAGCATGGACAAATGACCACAACTGGGTAATGAGAGGCCCCTCTTAGCTACCGAGAACTCATCCTCCGGTTCTGGAGGCCAGAGGTAGGGGGCTGTGTTAGGGATCTGTGGGAACACCACAGACATGGGCAGGCCCAGCACATGGGTCTTCCAGGAGAGAGAAGTAAAACCCACGTGTTCAGGGGGGATGAGTGACCACAGAACCCAGACTGATGGGGAGTGGGCAGGGCCTGGAGTGGACAGCCTTAACTTCTGGACCAGGCCTTCCCAGGGCCTGCCCCACTCCTGCCCTTTTGCTACAGCCGGATCCTGTGGATTTCTGTTTCTTGTGACCAAAAGAGAATGAGCAGTACAGAGTGATAAGGCATATAGCCCCCCAAGACCTACAACCCTACAGGCCACCTTGTGTTATAGTTTGGATATGAGGTGTCCCCCCAAAGCTCATGTGAGACAATGCAAGAATATTCAGAGGTGAAATGACGAGATTATGAGAGCTGTAACCTAATCTGTGGATTAACTGGGCGGCAATGTAAGCAGGTAGGGTGTGGCTAGAGAAAGTAGGTCCCTGGGGGTAAATCTTTGGGGATTATATATTATCTCTGGTAAGCAGAACTCTTTCTGCTTCCTGGTGACTAGGACCTGATCATTTTTCTCCACCATGGCCTTCCTCCATGATGCTCTACCTCACCTTGGACCCAGAGCTATGGAGTCACCCTGTCCCTCTATGGACTGACCCTCCAAAACCATGAGCCAAAATAAATTTTTCCACCAAGATAAATTTTTTCCTGTCAGGTATTTTGGTCACAGCAACAAAAAGGCTAAGGCTGACTAACCCACATTACCTGCCCGGCTTCTCTCCTGAAGCTTCATGGTGCCAGGGTCCCCTGGATTTCACCTTACCTCTACCAGCTTTGCCTGGGCACTGAACTTCCCCTGCCCCATAGCACCTCCCTAGCTCGGGGGCTCTGTTTTTCAGTTGCCCATCGGGACAACTGATCAGGGCCAGTTCAGAGTTAAAGCCCATCCTCTCGCAGCTGCTCCAGCTCTTCAAAGCATCCCTTTCTTTGGATCCTCCCCAACAATACCCAGTTGAAAGCTGAGCAAACCCTGAGGGCGAAGCAATACAGGAGATTGACCAGCAAAGCCTGGCGTGTCGAGGTAGCCTCTTCCCCAACCCAAATTCAAACAGTGGGGCAAAGGAACCCCAAGAAAACTCATCAGGTGGACTGTACCTGGGAGATAAACGGTGCCACCATCGCACCAATGCGACACAGGGAGCCGCTGGTCCCCATTCCCAGAGCGCGCATCGTGGTGGGGTAGACCTGCGGGGCAGGGGCATGGAGAACACCAGTCAGTGACTCTTCCCTCCCAGGTCAGCCTTTGTTACGAACATACTGAACACCACATACCTTCAGAACAGTCAAGATGCTCCTTCTCTCTGATACACACCTTTGAATTCCACCACCCCACCCCCGCCCCCGCCCCAACCAGCTCTGGGAATAGAACCCAAGGGCTTGGGCATACTAGGCAAGAGCTCTGCCTCTCAGCTACATCCCCAGCCTCGCCGCAGCCCCTCCCCCCTTTTAAAAATTTTTGCTTTGAGACAAGGCTTTACTGACTTGCTAAGCCTGGCCTTGATCTTGCAAGCCTCCCGAGTCACTGGGGGTACATGCATGTGACACTGTGCCCCCACCCATCCATATGAGCAGAGGTCTATGAGGAACTCTTCAGCTACCTCAGGAAGTACCTTACATCCCGTTGCTGTATTAATTCAGTAAACTAATGCATATGGAATAAACCACAATCATATTCAAATGTAAGCCCACAGTGCACCAGCCAACAGAGAGAGGGCAAATGGTCTTCCAAAGTAATGAAGGTGAAAAACACATTGCAATTTTAAGAGGGAGAAACAGGAGCTTCACCCGGAGCAGCAACACACTGCTCCTGACTCTCGACTCCTGCAGGCTGTGGCCGGGGTGATGGCTTGTTTTGGGCATGTAGTGGCAAAGGGAGAAGGTCCCATCTTTCCTCTCACATTGCCTTTCAATAGACTAAACAGGGAGGGGACAGTCCACATCCAACTTGCTAGTGCCATTTTCATGGGCTGTCTTGAGAACATAACTGACAGAAACCAGGGGCGCATTGTCTACAGAAGGACACCCTGTCGAAGTGGCTCACTTGAATGCACTGACCTAACTCACCTCTGGGAAAACCCTTCTGGGAAACTCACCTCCGCAGTGTAAATGTAGATGGTGTTGAAGTTGGCCGCCACCAGGGCCCTGAGCATGAAGAGGAAGCCAATAAGGCCGGCACTAGAGGACAGAAAGCCAAGGGAAGCCCTAAAAGCCATCACCACGGAGGGCCACCCGGGGTCCTGCTCCAAGTGCTTCGCAGACACTGAAGCAGCCACTTGTCACTCAACCAGAGGGAGGCACTGCTCTTAGAAGGCTTAATGATGGGGTTCAACTACCTCCCAAGTGGGTCATTCCACCTGGCCCCCTAGATGAGCACATGCCCTGAAAAAATGGCACAGTTTTCAGAACTGATGGTATGCATTCACCCCTCAGTATTCGGGACAGACTGGTTCCAGGACACTCCCCCGACCTGGTGCATACCAAAATCTGAGGATGCTCAAGTCCCTTTTTTAAAATGGCATTGTATTTGCATTTAACCCCATACTCCTGTACACTTTACATGTCTCCGGGTTAGTGTAACATCTAGTACTTATTTATAAATACTGAATAGTAGTGTCAATACAGTAGTGTTTAGGGAATAACACAAAGTAAAAAATTCGACACATGCTCAGTACAGATGCAAAGTTTTTTTGGTTTTGGTTTTTTTTTTTTTTAATATTTTCAATCTATGGTGAGAACCACAGTTGCAGAGGCCCACTGTATATTCTAGCTCATGCCTCTCTAGGACTGCACATTAAGAGTGAAATCAATCTTACCCCACAGATCAGCTGTCCCCATCACTAAACTATCTCGGCACTGGTCCAGAGAATTTGGTAAACAACTAGGGTTGTTCTCCAATCCTCCAGGAAACTTTGCGTAAAGATCCTAAGTATTTTGGTGGGAATCCCAATGCTTCACCTCTATCCTGAGAGCTGAGAGGTGCAGGAGCAGTAAGAGGAGGCAAATATGCTTAGAAGGCACCAGGTGCTTGCTCTCCACTCTCTCGGGAAAAGGGACTCATGCCAGACCCCAGTGAACACTAGGGGTCTGGAGACCCCATTGGAAACCATTGTAAAAAACTCGTTTGTCTTGAAGCAATGGAAGGACAAATACCTTGAAGTACAAATATTGAGGAGGAGGAAAAACAAAGCCGTGCACCCCATGGTGATAGCAAGGCTCAACCGTCTCCCCAGGAAGTTGATGCCCAGGATATTTAAAGGATTCACTGGAAGGCAAACAGCAAAGACAATTTTTGGAACTTTAACAGACAAGTGACATTTCATGACCCCTAGCCAGGAGTCATGCTTGTTGTTTCAGAAAAGAACAACTTTCTCCCAATGTCTCTGGTATTCCATCTAAAACCCACTCACACTGTCATCAATCTCACGACTCCTTCAAGACACTTTCCCCACAGGGGTCCCCAGGATGGTGCACGTGGATCTGCTGTTAATGGTCAGTTTGCTGGACCTATATTTTAAATGTTTTATACAGTTTCTCATTGAATTCAGAGTGCCATTGATTTTAAGTACCATCATTTTATGTCAACTAAGACAGAAATAATGCTGCCATTTGAAATCTAATGAGTTATTTCAAGACACATCCCAATTTCTGAGATGTTAAGATGTGGGGGGGAAATGCAACTTAACATAATAATTCAAAGTTTGACGCCTCTGGACCCTTCTTTCCCATACCAATCCATGCTGGAGACATGTCAGCACGATTGAGGGTCTTGTGCAATTCTACGAGGTAGGAGCCACATCATAGGTTGCACTTCTCTCCCGAGACTCCAAATGGTGTGTACCCAGCCTATTATGGTTTGGATATGAGGTGCCCCTCAAAAGCTCACATGTGAGACAATGCAAAAACATTCAGAGTGAAATGATTAGGTGATGAGAGCCTTAACCAATTAAGTGAATTAACTGAGTAATAACAGAAGGCAGGTGGGGTGTGGATGGAGGAAGTGGTTCCTTGGGGTGTGATTTTGGGGTATATATTTTGTATCTGGTGAGTGGAGTCTCTCTCTGCTTCCTGATCATCACGTGAGCTGCTTCCTGCTGCCACATTTCTCTCCACCATGACATTCTGCCTCACCTTGAGCTCCAAGGAACAGAGCCAGCTGTCTATGGACTGAGACCTCTGTAATCATGAGCCCCTAAATAAACTTTTCCTCCTCTACAATTGTGCTAATCAAGCCTGTTAGTCATAGTAGCAAAAAAGAAAAAAAGTTGACTAAAACACTGACTGAAATTCAGAGGGCCCCAGCACAAAGGGACACTTACAAGCAATTTCCCCGATGGTGCTGATGATCATTGTCCGGTAGTCAGACGGGGCAAACAGGTGGCAGTGGCAGGGACTGTGACTCTCCTGTGAGTCCCCCCCAGTCACCACCACCACCTGTGACTCTGACTTTGAACCACAGACCAGGTCCCGCTCCAGCAGCTCGGCACTGGCCAGGATAACCCCGTAATAGGCAAAAGAGATTCCCAGCCTGGGAGTGAGAAAAGGACTTCATTAGCAGACGTGAAGGACGGAGGAAGCTCAGGAGGCAGATGACAGGGAGAGGAGTCCACGTGGAAGTCACAAGACAGAATGTGCAAAAGGAACAGAGAACCCGGCTCACACAGTATCATGCAAATGTCTTTGGGGAAACACGTGTGCATTTCTGTTGGGTATAAACTGAAGAATTATGGGGCCACCAGATATGCACATTTCAATTGTAACAAAGTCTGCCCTGATGTGAGCTGCAGTCAGCGGGTGCTAGCATTAGTCTTTTTCATGTTAGCCATTCCCATGGACTGGTCTCTTGCTAGGTGTTAATTCGTATTTCCCTGGTGACATATATGTGGCATTGGGGACAGCAGCATGTTTGACAAGTTTTTCTGATGCACACATTATGAGTGACCTATCTGTTCAAGTCTCTAATTTATATATAATATATATATATATATATATATTAGCTGTTGATGGACCTTTATTTTATTCATCTATTTATATGCAGTGCTGAGGATCAAACCCAGCGCCTCACACATGCTACGCAAGCACTCCACCACTGAGCCACAACCTCGGTCCCTCTAGTCTTATTTTTGGGTTATCTTACTGGAAAAATTACAAATATCAATAAAACATTTTTACACAGATGTGTATATGAATATCTCTAAAGTGTTTGTTGCCTATTAGAGCAAATTTCTTCTCCCAGTTGGTAGCTAACCTTTGGGGATTCTCATGATAATTTATGGTGCAGTTACTAACCTAATGTAGTAAAAGTCATCAAACTTTTCTCTTATCCGTAGCCCCTTTTTGTGTCCTGATTAAAAGGGCTTTGCTTACTCAGGTCAAGACTGTAAAGGAAAAAAAAAGAAGCACACAGGGGACCAAAAGAGGCTAACCCACTGGTCACTGTTGACTTCGAGGGATCAGTTTCTGTCACAAAGAAATGAAAAATGAAAAGGCTACAAAAGTGCAAGTGAGAGACTATTTTCCTTTTTTTTTTTTTTTTTTTTAATCCCGGGGATTGAGGATGAGCTTTAAGGGTTCCCTAATATGAAATACAGCATTTTATTTGTGGGTGACTTTTTTTCTGGAGAAAGAGGATTGAGCTCAGTGGTGCTCTACCTTAGCTACATCCCTAGCCATTTTGTGAGACAGGGTCTCACTAAATAACTGAGGCTGGCCCTGAATGTGGAATCCTCCTGCCTCAGCCTCCCCAGTTACTGGGATCACAGGCGTGCACCACCCACATGCGCCCCGATAAGAAACGTTTAAGAACTTGTTGTAGCTGAATGTGGTGGGGCACAAGTGTGTGTGCCCAGGTGCTGAGGAGGCTGAGGAAGAAGGATCACAAGTTCAAGGCCAGCCTCAGCAATTTAGTGAGACCCTATCTCAAAATAAAATGAGAAGAGCAGAGGATGGACTCAGTGGTGAAGCACCCCACATTCAATCCCTGGTGAGGGGGGAAATGCCCATAGACAATTAGGGTTTTGTCTTTCTAAAATTTTTACTTACTCATTTGTGGTGGTGGTGTGGTGCGGTGTGGTGTGGTGTGAACAGATAAGACATTGCTAAAGGAAATATTTGGAGTCTATCTTGTGTTTTTCTCCCCAGTGGTGATGAGTGAATTTACAGTAGTCCCCTTATCTGCAGGACACATGTTCCAAGAACCCCCGTGGGTGCCTAAAACCAGAGAGTACTGAACCCTATATATAGTAGGCTTTTCCCTATACACCCCTGTGATAAAGCTCAATTTATAAATGAGGCACAGCAAGAGAGAAACAACAACTAAAGATAAAAGAGAGCCCCTATAACAATAGACGGTAACCAGAGTTAGAGGAGCGTAGTCTCTCTTGCTTTGAGGAAGTCAAGACAAATATTAATATTATCAGACCATGGTTGACCACAGGTAACGGAAATCATGGGATGTAAGACCACAGATGAGGGCGGACCACTGTACATAAGAGGGATTCCTCCAAATACCCATTTTTTTTTTTTTTTTGGTACCAGGGATTGAACTCAGGGGCACTTGACCACTGAGCCACATCCCCAGCCCTATTTTGTATTTTGTTTAGAGACAGGGTCTCACTGAGTTGCTTAGTGCCTCATGGTTGCTGAGGCTGGCTTTGAACTCACAATTCTCTTGCTTCAGCCTCCCGAGCTGCTGGGATTATAGGCGTGTGCCACCAAACCCGGTCAAATACCTATTTATTTAAAGCTGGTTTTTAAATAACTGCATTCTTACCATATGACCCAGATCTGTAATGTGGTCCGTAGGTACTTAGCGTCCAGTAGGTCTGCAAATCTTCCTCTTTTTTCCTGCCATTATCAAAAGGGTGGGGGAGGGGGACAGAAGACATTTAGCAGGTTAAGAACGAGCAAATGTTTCTGCGATATTTGGGATCATAGGGAACAAGGATAGTATGGGTATGGTAGAGTGAGATGACCACTTGGTGCCCGTGGCACAGCTCGCCAAGCGTTTAGAATATTGTTTATAACACAGGAATCTTAGCCAGGCGTTGTCATTGGCACATAGAGGCACTCAGTGGACTTAAGGCCCAATTCTTCCATTCTTGCCCTGCTCACTGGTGCTGGCGCAGAGGTGGGAAGGGAAGAGGAGAAATTAAAAGTGACAGCAAAATGAATGGGTGATTCTTTTGAAATTAACAAGTAAAAACGTATGTTTAAAAAAAAAAATTATGAAACAGGGTGCAGTGGCACAGGGCTGTCATCCCAGGTACTCAGGAGGCTAAGACACAAGGATCGCAAATCTGAGGCCAGCCTCTGCAATTTAGGGAAGACCCTGTCTCAAAATTTAAAAAGTGAAAAGAGCTGGGGTTGTAGCTCAGAGGTAGAGCACTCCTGGATTCCATCCCCAGTACTGCAAAAAAATAAAATAAAAAAGTAGGGGAAAGCAAGCTAGAAATACTTTGGATGATTCTCTGTAGAAAACCACCTACTCTTTTCTCATAAATTAACCTGGGATTACAGGTCCCCTCCAAGGGACCGGGAATGTGGTCCAGGGGCCTTGGCTCCCGCTGTCACAGAAAGCTGGAGCGTGCAGGGATTTCAGAGGTCTTCTCTCCCATGGCTCTTGGGTGTGGTTCCTGGAGGTCACTGTGGGTAGCATGGTGCCACAGATGACTCCACCCTCATCTACTTCACTTATTAGGGCTCTGGTTACTCATGATTGGAAGACCTTGGAGCTAGTCCCATCCTCCAACTTCCTAGTCCTAAATGAATATTCGGCCCGTAGAGGGTAGGCGACTTGCCTAAGGTCACATAGCCATGGAGCAGTAGAGCCAGCCTGGAATCAAGGTGTCCTGAGCCCAGTCCAGAGCCTTGCCCATTTACCTCCTCCTTTTTGGTGGGGAGGGGTCCTGGGGATTGAACTCAGGGGCACTTGATCACTGAGCCACATCCCTGGCCCTATTTTGTATTTTATTTAGAGACAGGGGCTCAACTGAGTTGCTTAGGGCCTTGCTTTTGCTGAAGCTGGCTTTGAACTTGCAATCCTCCTGTCTCAGCCTCCTGAGCCGCTGGGATTACAGGCATGCACCACGACACCCCACCCATCTACCTCTCCGCTATGAATTTATGTGATGCCACTGTGGCCCCTTCTCCCCCAGTGTCACTGGGGAGTCATAAAGCCGAGGACTTTGTGAGTCACAGGAATTGTCTGAATCTCGGTCCCAACACCCTATCTCCAGTACTCTTCATCTCCAGTGCAGCCCTGCCCCAAGCCCTTCCTCCCAGTGTCTTTGGAGTAAAAGAGCAGAGGCTGGCTGTCCCTGGCTTAGTCTGCCTCCCTGCACTGATCCTTAGCCCCACTCCTGGATCCTGAACATCTGTGCTTGTTTTGTTACTGATTCTCTTGTAGGCGACACATCTCACGGACCAGGTTGTGAGAGACTAAGGAACACGCAAGAAGGGAAGTGATCATTGGTAAAATTCAATTTATAAAAAAAAAAAAAATTATTTAAGGTAATTCCAGCAACTTGGGGGGCTGAGGCAAAAGGATCACAAGTTTGATGCCAGCCTGGGCAACTTAGCAAGGCTCTATCTCAAAAAATAAAAAGGGCTGGAGGGGTGGGCTGGGGTTGTGGCTCAGCGGTACAGCACTCGCCTAACACATGCGAGGCCCTGGGTTTGATCTTTAGCACCACATAAAAATAAATAAAATAAAGGTATTGTGTCCATCTACAACTAAAAAATAAATATTTTTAAGGAAAAGGCCTGGGGGGGTATAGCTCAGTGGTAGGTTCCCTAATACAAAAATAAAAAGTTTTAAAACAAACTGGATAAAAATTAAATTCTTTCCTTATCATGTAATAAATTCTCACATATATTTGAATCAACCATCCTCTTGCCCCAGCCTCCTGAGTTGCTGGAATTACATTAAACAATTCTTCAAATGTAAAAGGGATGAATTATTCAATAAAAGTAGATGAGAGCCACTGTTTAGCCATTTGGACATGCCAAAGCTGGATCTGTGCCCTGTTTCTTATACCAAATTAAGCCCAGGTAGATTCAACATTTAAATATTGAAAATAAAACTAAATTAACCCAGCAGAAAGAAGAGAAATACAAAAAGTCAGTAATAATAAAAATAAGTTTAGAAACCAATAATAAAAATGATGGTACTAAAAAAATTAGTCCATCTACGTAGATGCTGGCTTTAAAATAATGACTTGTTCAGGGAAGCTTACAAAGTAAAATTAAAACTCTAGACAAAAATGATTTTGAAGAAAAAAATGATTCAGAAGACCTTAATTCAGAAAACCTTAAGGTCCCAGTGTCAAGAAGGCACACAAAGGCAGCAAATAATATTTGCTGTTGCAAGTGTGCATCTATGACGTAAGGATGACTATTAAGATAAAAGAAGCAGTGCATAAATTCCAAGCCAATAAGAGGAAATATAAAGGTAACTGAGGGTAGGAAAAGAGAAAGAAGTACGCGACAGAAGTCCCAACGTACCACTGAGTGTAGCAGATGTAAAGGGACCAAACTCCCCACGAGATACAGTGGAATAAAATGGAAGACACAGAGACAAACCCACATAAATACAGTTATCTCATACTAGACAAAGGCACCATAACCAGACGCTGGAGAAAAGATCGCCTCTTCAATGAATTGTGCTGGGAAAACTGGAAATCAATACACAAAAGAATTCAGTTGAACCTCTATCTCTCATCCTGCACAAAAGTCAACTCAAGTGGATCAAGGACCAGAGACCCTGCGCCCACTAGAAGAAAATGTAGGTCCAACATTCTAACATATGGGCTCAGGAACCGACTTCCTCAACAAGACTCCTAAAGTGCGAAAAGTAAAATCAAGAATCAATAAAGGGGATGGTAGAGATCTAAAAAGCTTCTTCTTAGCAAAGGAAACAATCAAGAACATGAAGAGAGAACCTACATTGTGGGAGAAAACATTGACCACATATGCCTCAGAGCCTTCATCTCAGCAACTTAGCAAGACCCCATCTCAAAAAATAAAATAGAAAGGGTCAGGGGTGGACACTTGCCCAGCATGCATGAGGCCCTTGGTTTGACCCCCAGAACCTGAAAAACATTCTCCCATAAACAAACAATGTTGCCAAATACATGATCAGCTCCACAGGTAGGTGGTGTTGCCGTTTGCATTTTTATTGAGAAAAATGAAGTTAGAGAACTAACCAGAGCACATGGCAGCAGCCCACAGTGAGGTTCACCAGAGCCTCAACACTGATCTGCTCTCCCCAGACCATCCCTGCCTCCAAGAGGAGGCTAGAGAGCTAACTAAAGTTGCCTTCCCCGCTCCAGTGGCAGAACTCACCAGAATGGGCTCCACCAGCCTCCCCTCCGGCATGACGGAGCGGTTCATCCTGGCAATGCGCTCTAGGGTGGCCAGGGCAGCCTGGGTGTTCCCGGTGGAGACATTGAACCGAGCCGATTCAGGAATAAACTGGGCACAGATGACAAAGGACATGAGAGTTGCGACTGTTGCGGACGCAGAGCTAGCGCTGTGATGGCTCTGTAAACACCATCCTGTTTCCCGAGGTGGGAAAAGAACGAGGCCGCTCGCCAGCGCACAGTCCAGCAGGCTTCTGCTGACCTCCTGTGGAAACTTGCCTCTAGGTAGGGAAATCTAGGGAAGACCGAAGCCTGGGCTAAAACCAAAGGAGGAAGTGTCAATGTTTGAATTTAATTGAGATTTAAAACACACACACACACACACACACACACACACACACACACACACACACCCCAATTACAGGCTTTAGGTTCTAGGTTTAAAAACTGATGCAAAACAGACCCTGGGGATGCAGTTGATCCAAACCCATCAGAATCCAGCTGTGGAGGGCAACTTGCCACTCGGGCAATAAAGTCCTGGTCCCTGCCAACAGAGGCAGGCGGACACTAGGCAGTAGGCTGCTGGACCACTGATCCCAGAGCACCATGGATGGGCTTACGTGGGATTCTGAGCAACTGTTCACTGCATCAAAGATGCTGACCAACTGGGCTTTCCAGAAAGAGAGAGGCAGGACTCTGAAGCCAGCTGTCGTGGAAAAGACTTGAAAGTAATAAATTACGGGGAAGAAGCTTAGGAGGGCCTCCCTTAAACACTTGGAGGATGTCATGGTGAGAAGAGGGACCTCTGGTTTTCCAGAAAGAAGCAGTAGGACCTGCAGGTAAATTTATGAAGTCTGATTATAACACAGAACCGCCTAACACCTGGAGCTGCCGGGAGATGGAGATTCTATAGAAAACTATAAAGTCGCCGCAGGCACGAAGCCGGGAGTCTTCTGGCAGAGACCTGCCAGGGGTGTGCCTGAATTCGTTTGAAGGTTGGAAGAAATGACCACTAAGGACCTCTGAGTTCTGATGCTCTTTGATTCCACAGGGTAGGTGACACAAAGGGATCAGCGCCCCGTTCTGCTGAGCAGCTGATTCTATCTTTAACAAAGAGCAGATTCTGCTGGAAGCTAAGGAAGCTAAGGATTCTGCAGCTGAGCACCGCACAGCCTGGTGGGAGAAGAGGAGGACAGGCGGGCAGGCCTGCAGTGGCCCAAGAACGCATGGACAGCATCAGAGGGCGTGTGCTCAGGGAGATAGAGGTCAGGAATAAATGGTGGCGGAGGCCCGGGAGCAGGCTGGTTGGGATACTCTCTAGAGGAAGAAGGTAGATGGGAGACAGATATTTGAGAGGCAGAAAGGCCAGTGGGCCAGCTGGAGAGGGCCACGAGAGCTGCTCACCTTGAAGGCCATGATGAGGATGATGCCAGGGATGGAGGCTATCCGGATGAGCCAGCGCCACCCGATGGTGGGGATGACCACAGAGGCCAGGCCGATGATGAGCAGGGAGCCAGCCAGCCAGAAAACCTGGGCAGAGACGTGAAAGATTAAATGCCTCCTATCCACCCACATTGCTCAAGGATAGGACGGGAGGCTGCAAGGAAGGCTGTTCAGGTCCTGCTCCCAGCACCACTTGCACTAGCTGGAGGAAATGGACACTTCCCTCCTCCATGACTCCGTTTGCTTTCTGTAAATTAGAGCCTTAGCTAGAGAGTCAGCCAGCACTATGTGGTTTAAAGAACATGGCGCCCTGGGAGTTTCAGACCTTGACTTTTTTCTTGACTAGGTCATGCGCTCCCTGGGTCATAACATAAAAGGCACCAAACACTGGAAAGAAATGGTGAAAGCACTTTCTTCTCTTAGCTCTCTGCCATCTGGTTTCTCTTCCCAGTGGAGTCAATAGTACCAGTCTCCTCTCTGTCCTTCCAACGCTGTTCTAGACACATCCAAGCTAATAAGGATGCGTTTTGTTCTTTTTTCACAAAGGGTACCAGAGACTACACAACATGCACACTTTGACTTTTGTACTTGCAAGTCATATCTTGGAGATAATCTTATATCAATAAATAACAGCCCACTGGGGCCTGGTCTCCTCGTCAGAAATCAGAACAAGTCCCAGCTTTCACCTGAGCATGAGGGATAAGGCGACTGCACTCTACCTCACAGAGATGGGAGAAGGTACCCTACTAGAAGGTTCCTTGGGAATCCTTGGGGGGGGAAGAACTCTTTCAAAGAATTCTATTACCAAAAAAGAAAAAAGAAAAAGATTTCATAAAGAGACTAGAGCTATAAAGAAGTAGAATAATGCGATAAAGTGTGACTTGGGTGATCAGGGACAACTTTTCTGAGGGAGCAACAAATAAGGGGACTGCAGTAGAGCAGAAGGTGGTGTGGCTCTGGGTGGAACTTCAGTACCAAAATGTCAAAAAATTCTTTAGTGGACTCGACACACGTTTTTGAGGTAAATGTGGCAATGTTGGGTGAGGGGCACTTGGGTCGAGGCTACACCAACGGGGGATGAGTTAGCAGCAGTGGGGGTTGACCAGGTGGGGTGAGGGGAAGGGAGGGTCCACAATGGCTCTCAAGTTTGTGGCTCCAGTGACTGAGGGGGTCCTGTTTGCTATGACCGCAGAACAGACACACAGAACCAAGGGGCTTCCGTGAAGATGAAGAGATTAGCTGTGAGCAGGTTGTATCTGAGGAACCTGTGAAATCCAGGTGAGGGACTCAGGTGATCGACCTCTGGGGTCTGAAGTTCAAGGAGGGGCCTGGGAAACAGATTTCTGGAGGTGGAGAGACAGCAACCTAGGTACAGTCGGCCATCCATGCCTGTAGGCCCTGGATCAGCAGAATCTGCGTCTGGGATTTCAAACAACCAAGTTTCAAAAATATTCAAGATCAAATTGTGTCTATACTCAACATGTACAGATTTTTGGGGGGATCATCATTCCCTAAATGCAGAACAACTATTCACATGGCTTTCAGAGGTGTAGGTATTTTATGTCATCCAGAGATAACTTAGATATGTTATATGCAAATCATGCACCATTCATATAAGGAAGCTAAGCATCACCGGTTTGGGTATGCTCTGGATCCTAGAACCAATCTCTCACAGATACCAAGGGACAACTGTGAGACCACTGGAGTAGCATGACCACCCAAGGAGATTCGAAAATAAGACACACAAAAAAGGGATAGAACCAGGAAATATGCCAAGGCACTAGGCAGATGAAAATGAGCTTTGTTCACTAAATAATTTTAAGTTAAGTATTAAATGCTAAGTATTAAAAGTGTGTGCAACCACCTTAACACAGGTCTGAAGAAGAAACCTGGGAGTAAGGTAGAGTTACTATCTGGTGTTGCAGGGTTTTTTAGATTTTTTTTCTTGTTATTTTTATTGCCCAAATTCAGTGTCCCCTTTTCTAGGGAAATTAAACCCAGGGACCTTACCCCTTAGATACATCCACAGCCCCCCCACCCTCTTTTATTTTGGAACTCAGGATGTTCTTAACTTGCCGAGACTGGCTTCCAACTTGTGATCCTCCTGCCTTAGCCTCCCCTTAGCCTCCCACGTAGTTGGGATAACAAATGTGCACCACAGCATCTGGCTCAAAAAATTTTTGTTAAAACATTCTCTGACTGCTTTACTTATTGCCAAATGCATCCTACTTTAGTGGGAAGAGTCATTTTTTTTCCTGGAACCCCCTGCCTATTGATAGAAACTTTGGAATACTAAGGGCATCAAAACTGGTACAGGGTCGCTAGACCGACCTCTCTTCTAACTGGAAAACCTCTCAAAGGTCAGCTGGGACCTGAGGGCTCCAGAGCATCCCAGGCTTCTCCTCTTCAACATGGCAATTATGACACAGTCCCTCAGGCGGGGCCAGTGATGGATCTGCAGATACCAGAATCGTTGGAAGGGGGATGGGACACCCCGATGGAGTGGTAGCTACTTCCCCTCTCTGAAGGGGAGAGAAAGGTGATCCCAGATGCCTTCCTGCAGCCGTCATTCCAGACCCTGGAATATGTCCCGGTCATAGAGGAAGATGGTACTGTGTTCTGAGCACCATCGCTGGATGACATAAGTCCAGTGTCATCCACCATCGCTGGATGACATAAGGCCTTGGCATCAACCTCTGGCATCAAGCATTCTCAAGGTTTTTAGTTAGTGCAGAAAACAGGCAGCGAGCCAACCAAAGGTCAACCAGCCACAAGAAATTCTGCAAGGTTGCATCCTCGTGAAAGCAGAAGACGGGGCCCAGCGCCTACTTCACCTTACCTGAGACAAGGGGAGCATGTAGCCTCGGTATTTAGTGGGCAAAAATTCAGTCTTTATGATTAACCTAAACAAGAAGGGCAAAAACAGAGTTATTGTCACTTTCCTTAAGCAATCTGGTCACAGAAATGAAGCATTCAAAAGCATCATCATTCACTGTACAGCAAAATTAAATTGTTACAGGGCGAGGAATGCAGCTCAGCGGTAGAGTGCTTGCCTAGCATGTGCAAGGCCCTGGATCCCATCCCCAGCACAGCCGAAAGAAAAATACATATATTACATACGTGTAATTGCTACAACTAATGTCCACATGAGAGAACAGTGAGAAGGGAATGTCCCAGTGCTTCTGTTGCCATTTCTACTCTGAAAGTTATTTCAAACCCTCTTCACCCATTTCAGATATATTAGCCTGACCTTTTGCCCAAACCCGATTCCCTTTTCTAAAACATACCTGGGAAATTAGAATACACCCAAGAGAAGGTAAATAGTTTTCCAACTAACAAGTGTCAAAGCACAGGTTTCCAATTAAGTACATATTAGTCTTGTGAATGGAATAAATGGAATCATATTCCATCAGTTTTCTAATCGCTCTCCTCTGCTCCGATTAGGCAAGGTTGGGCTTTAACATCTTTATTGGACTGTTTCCTGGGGGATGTTTTAAAAGTCAGTTTAGCTTCTACTCCTTTAGGGCTCCAGGCCTCAGATGCTTAACTTATGCCCCAGGAAAGAGCAATACCTTCCCCTACACAGGAAGGCAGTCAGGTGCTTTGACACCTCCCAATATACTTTACAGATATCTTGCTCCAAGAAATGCACAGAGAATAGCCTGAGGGGCCCTGTTAATTTCAAGGAGGCTCCCCAAACCAGAACACTTAGCTTAAGGACTTTAAAATCCAGACCCTGGCACTTACCCAAGGGCAGGAAGCAGATGAGAATCATGTTTCTATTTCAGTATGATCTCGCCCTGTCTTGCACATTCACTCGGGCACAGTCTTAGGTCACAGGGCAATAGTGCTTAAAATGGTTAGTCCAAAATGGACTTCCAAAAAAAAAATTTTTTTTCAGTGCTGGGGATTTAACCCAGGGCCTTACCCATAGGCAAGCACTCTACTACCAAGCTATGTCCCCAGCCCTTTTTAACCTAATATGGCACTTTTTATTAGTATTTAGTCTTACCAAAGTTTTCCTGGTCAAAAAGTGATGATTAGCCTTGGCAACAACAAAAGCTGACACATTTGCCACCTACCACTCCACTAGCCTCAAGGTCAAGCATCATCGTGATGAGCAAATGGCTCCTACTGGAATAATGAGCAGCCATTATTTTCAGAAATTTTAAAAACTCAAAAACAATTAGCACAAGTCTATTTGCAAACTGTTGATGCTACTCTTGGATTAGGCACTGAGGATGCGGGTGTAAGTGCCTGTATATGCTTCTTCCCTGGGAAGCCACTGGGGCAAGTCTTTACCCTTGGGCGTGGCCAGACACTCCGCAGCCCACCATGGTCCGCAGAAAGACAAACCAGATGTACGAGGGAGAGAAAGAGGTCAGCAAGGAGAAGTAGGCTCCCCACAGGAACGAGATGAGCAAAATCTGAAGCAACAAAAGACAACCAGTTACTTGACCTGCCTCGGATCCCGGGCAGAAGGTGCACGGTCATTGCCATCCAGGCATTTCCTGCTCAGAGCTGGTGGGCAGCAGCTCCCTGGTCTCCCACAAGCTGAGGCTTGTGCCTCCGCCCAGACCTTCCAGGTTTGGACCATTCTTCAGAAGTGCTCTAATGTGCCCTGCTCCCAGGTGACAAAGTCAATTTTGTACACCAGAAAGCAAAACTAATCCTTCCCTACTCACAGGGCTGTTAGAAGCACAGTGAGACACTGTGTGGGAATGATTATAAGGAGAAACCTCCTGGAATTAATTTTTTTTCTCTAATTATAAAAGTAATACAATTTGTAATAGAGAATAAGGAAGAAAATAAGTTGAATCAACCTTGATTCTCCCATCTGGAGACAATGCTGTTAATGTGGTTGTGTCTTATTTTCTCTGTGAAAGAAAATTCCCTCACTCCCCATACTGAGGGCTGCACCCAGAGTGCTCTACCACAAAGCTATGTACCTGTACCTGTACCGGGGATTGAACTCAGGGGCCACTGAGCCACATCCCCAGTCCTATTTTTCATTTTATTTAGAGACAGGGTCTCACTGAGTTGCTTAGTGCCTCACTGTGGCTGAGGCTGGCTTTGAATTTCCGATCCTCCTGCCTCAACCTCCTGAGCAGATAATTTTACACACATGCCCCACCACCCTTGGCCTCTCTTATTTTTTTGAGACTCACTAAATTGCCCATGCAAGCCTATAAACTTTCAATTCTCCTGCTTCGGACTCTCCAGTTGCTGGGATTACAGGCAGGCACCATACCCAGCTGAAAACAAATTCTTAATGGCTTTAAAAATTCTAGAATCTTCCCGTCAACTTTAGAGACTGAGGAAGCACAATCACAAGTTCAAGGCCAGCCTCAGCAATTTAAAAAGACCCTTGGCAATTTAGTGAGACCATCTCAAAATAAAAACTGGAAAGGGTTGGGGATTTAGCTCCGCCATAAAGTGCCCTGGGTTTAATCCCCAGTACCAAAAATAAATAAAAATTCCAGAATCTACTACACTCTGTAAAACAAAATATAATACATGTAATGTAATATACAAACCTACTATACACCCTATTGCTTAATGCTGAGGTTGTTTCAGATTTTCTGTTAAAATAAGCTGGAACGATGTCTCTGCATAAATCATCATGTCCTCTCAAATAATCTCAGGAAACCAGATTGCTGGAAGGCAAATTATCAGGTTAGGATAATAGATATTTTCAAGATTCTTGATTCATACTGCCAAACAGAGAGTCAGACAGTACTGTCAGGGAGGAAATAAGATGTTTCCTCAATCTCCATGGGTTTTTCTTCCCCCCCCTGAGTTCTTGGTTGGGATGGGCCCCTGCAACAAGAGATTAACAAGCAAAAGCAAAACAAGTTTATTCACACGTTCAGCACATATCACGCATATCACATGGGAGAAGCTCCCGGGCAAGGCAGCGCAAAGAATGGCTCAGAACCAGGCGAACGTGGCATCTCCAGCTAAAACGTGAGAGCTCCGGGCAGTGACAAGACAAAGGGAAGCCTTCAGGGGCGGGAAGGGGATACATACAAGGACAGGGACGCAAGGAGCAGGTGGTGCGAGATTGCTCTGGCGCCACCTAGAGGCTCATAAGAGGAGTCCAGAGTTGTCTGCCTAAAGGAGAATTTCTATCCCGACTTTCAGGCAGAAAAATGAGAGAAAGAGGATAAAGTTATTCTGCTGCTTGCTGCTTCTTAATTACTTTTATCTACAAAATAATTATATGTCAAGGAGGCATATTTAGAGCTCGGTGTGGTGGTGCCCACCTGCAATCCCAGCAACTCAGAAGACTGAGGCAGGAGGATGGAAAGTTGGAGGCCAGCCTCACTATCTTAGCAAGACCCTATCTCAAAATAAAAAGAACTGGGATGTGGCTCAGAGGTAGAGCACTCTGGATTCAATCCCCACTACCCACCACCACCACAGCAAAAAAGGCAAATTTTGGGGTAACATACACAAATTTCCTTCCATAGCAAGAGTCGCTGGTTGTATATTTAACACTTCCTTAAACAGTTACTTATGGGCTTAATGTTTAATGTCACTTTGATAAGGAAAAACCCTTTGTTATGTCATTTTGCTTTGATTATCTTCTATGAATAAATATTTCCTGATCTGTTGTATTTCTTCTTTCATAAATGCCTTTTTATGATTTTTTCTCCTTTGAGAAGCTTGTGATTAGAAAAAAATAAAGAGAAGTGCATATTATGATGTTAATTTAAAAGTTTTGCTATTTTATGCACTTTAAGATACACAGCCAATTCTATTAATATTTTCCTTTGAGCTCTCTCTCTCTCTCTATGCTTCATCAGAAATTAAACAAGAAAAAAAGCTCTGGTTTGTAACCAATTTTTTATTATTATTAGTTAGGGTTTGAGGAGGTTGTTTGGTTTTTTGGTACTGGGGATTGAACCCAGGTGTACTTTACCTCTGAGCCACATCCCCATTCCCTTATATTTTTTTGAGACAGAGTCTTGCTAAATTGCTGAGGCTGACCTCAAATCTGTGATTCTCCTGCCTCAGCCTCCCGAGTCACTGGGATTACAGATATGCCCCACAGGGACCGGATGAAGACAGTTTTCTTTCTGAAGATAATTTATACCTTGATGTTTAATCTGAGTAGGCGTATGGGCTTCAGTTTAGTTTCAAAACAATACAAAATCAACTAATGTGAGTTTGCCTGTTTATACCTGCAAATCTCTACACCCTAATGAATTTTTAACTATGCACCTCCCTCAATTCCATATCTGGACTGGGGTAGAAACCTCAGGAACAGATGAAAAACCAATACGACCTGCCTGGGATTTAGGGATGTGTGATCAGAAGGGAATTTCTACATTTTCTGTCTTGGATGTTCAGAGAAGCATTAGAACACACACATAGAGAGAGAAAGAGAGACAGAGAGAGAGAGAGAAAGCAAAAGAACACAAGAGAAGAAAATGCCAAATCCCACAAGGCCCCACCTACCTTCCAGCGGCCATATCTGTCAGCCAGGAGGCCAAAGAGGATGCTGGACACCATGTAGCCAAAAAACACCATCTGGAGGGATGGAGGGAGGGTTGAGGATGAGTTATGCTCCCAGCAGAGTTCTGATGTTTGTTTAGTGCTTGAAGCATTCATCCATCTTAACTGAGGCAGGAGGATCACAAGTTGGAGGCCAGCCTCAGGATCTTAGCAAGACCCTATCTCAAAATCAAAAGGACTGGGGATGTGGCTCAGAGGCAGACTGAAAACCCCCAAGGGGTGGAAGCTGAAGAATGGCATTCCCCAAACCCGTGTCCCTTGCCCAGTCGGCACGGTCAGGGCTTCAGGGGCAACGCTTATGCTTCCTGCTGGCCCATCCTGTAGGAGGCCCTGGGACTGTTTTGCTCAAAGCACGGACTCTCCCTGTGGCCTGTAGGTGTCCAGGGGGTCACGGAAGCTGGACGAACTTCATTGTGCAGCTGTGTCCTTTGCTACTTTCAGCCTTGGGTGAAGCTGGGACTCCTCCTCTCTTGAGGCTGAGGGACCAAGGTGAAGAGTACTTAAGGTATTTTCAAGATTTGAGTGGAGTCATAATCCACGGGCTCTCAGCTACCAGCTTCCATAACACCCTGCTCCAGACGCCCAGAGCAGCAGCTGGGAATCTTCAGTCATTGTCCTAAACTTGGAGGAACAAAGGCCACGCTGCCTTTCTAATGTGTCCTTTCTCTGGGTCCCTCCCTCCAGGGGTCACCTTGGATTCCAGGAGCAACAGGCCTAAAGGATAAACCTCTTGGTGACAAGAGTTGAAACCACACCCCAGGCAGCAGGGACACCTACCAGCACCCGGTATTGTGAATTGAACCCAGGGGTGCTCCACCATGGAGCCACACCTCCAGCCATTTTAATTTTGGTGGGGAGAGGCTAAGCTGCTGAGGCAGGTCTCCAACTTGTGATCCTCCTGCCTCAGCCCCCAGCAACAGAACTTCCTCATCATAGACATGACCATCCCGAGATGATCAACCAGACCAGTTTGACCAGGACAGCTAGACCCTCATGCCCCCACCCCAAGCTAAAACCTGAAGCTCATGACAATCCCCCCAGAAGACAGAGCTGAGTACCCTAGTCCCCATGCCTCCCCTTGCAATCTGACATAGCTGTCCTGAATATGAAATTCATTTTTGTGGGGCAGCGGGTACTAGGGATCAAACCCAGGGGCGCTTCACCACTGAGCCACATCCTCGGCCCTTTTTATTTTGAGTCAGGGTCTCACTAAGTTGCTTAGGGCCTAAGTTGCTGAAGCTGGCTTTGAACTTGCGATGCTCCTGCCCCAGCTCCAGAGCTGCTGGGATTACTTTGATTATTTGGAGCAAGTGACTAGACCCAGTGTATTGGACTCTGGCCTAGGACCACAATAATAATCCCCAGGTGCACAGAGCAGGCAACTCGGGTAACTGCTTTGCCTCTGCTCCCAGATGATGGTCTCTACTGGACTCAGAGTACAGTCGTGAATTTCTACTTTAATTAAAAAGAGCTCTCTATTCCTTCTTGCTGTGCCTTAGTCCAACACAGGCAGCGGCCTCTAAGAGCCTTCTTCCTTCATGTGATTACAAGTAAACATAAACTCCCTGCCAACAGCAAAACCAAGCATTCATCAAAAAAAAAAAAAATCTTGCCGGGCCACGGTGGTGCAGACCTGTTATCCCAGAGGCTTGGGAGGCTGAGACAGGAGGAGCACAGGTTAAAGCCAGGCTCAGCAACTTAGTGAGACCCTAAGCAACTTAGTGAGACCATGTCTCTAAATAAAACATCAAAAGGGCTGGGGATGGGGCTCAGTGGTTAAGTGCCCCTGAGTTCAATCCCTGGTACCACCAACAACCATCACCCAACAACTCCTCCAAACAAATATGAATCCCCAGGCAGATCTGTTCATTTTTCTTATTCTCACAGTGGCTCATGAATCCTGAAAAAATCCAAGAACCTAGCCCTGCCGCCAGTGTCTTCACGGAAGGCCACCCAGCAGGTGTCTGTGCCGTGGCCACGGGTTTCCTGCCTCCCAGCACTTCCAGCTGCTCTGGCCGTTCCTGCCCAGGCTCCCTGGCTGGTCCCCTCCAAGATAATCAAAGGAAAACACAGGAGTTTTGTTTCTTGCACTTTTTTAGCGAGAAGGCGGTTTCTCTCTGCAGCTCGCTCTTCTTTGTCTCCCTTCCTCCCCTTCACGGGGGAGACAAAAGCACTTTGTCCCCAGGGAACCCCAGACAAAGCCACCCTATATATTCCTCCATGACATCAGCCAAGATGGTGCCCGGTGCCCTGGACTTTCTAGGACAGGGACCTTGACTCAAAGTCCATGTTAACTCCAAAGCTTGAAAGCCCTGTCCTCCTGTAACCCTGTTTGGGACGTCACAACACTGACCCCCTCACCGGCCCCTTGGAGCTCTGCCCTTTCCTTCAGGGGCTTATTTTTAGTATAAAGCAGGACTCTTCTGTGTAAGTGTCTTTCTCCAGCACCAAGTCCCTGATTCACAAAACGCGAGGGTGTAACTCACCCCCAGTCCTCGGTTTTCCCAGGGCGGCTGGTCTGCAGTTATCCTAGGCAGAGCTGCTCCCTTTGGCCTCCCTCCCTTCTGCCCCACATTCCAAATTTAAAGAAAGGCCCTACTTAAATGGTGAAAATGCAAACTGCTCCATCTCTTTTAGCTTTTTTTAGAGTATCAGATAAGCTTTGTAATGCCCCCTTAGTCATTAGTGCTGTCGGTCCGTGAGCACAAAACACGTAAACCATGGTGAGGTTTAACTTGTAGAAAAGGAATTTATCTAAAAAGAACTACAGAAGATGGGTGGGTAAGGAGCACACACCTGTAGTCTCAGGAGGCTGAGGTGGGAGGATCACAAGTTCAAGGCCAGCCGCAGCCACCTATTCAGATGCTGTCTCAAAATAAAAAAATAAAAAGGGCTGGGGATCTTGCTCAGTAGTAAAGCATCCCTGGGTTTGATCCAGAAAGTCGGCGTCCATTACTTCAGAGAAGGAAAAAGGAGACCCATGTCCTGGATGAGGAAGACCCTACCCCACACACAGACTTCCCCCTGCTCCTCCTTTCTCCACTATAAAAGCCCTTTGTACCCCTGATCCCCACAAGATGGAACTTCAGAGTCAAGCCCATCTTCCAAGATGCGAGTCCTTGGGAGATCCTGATTGCTTCCCACTGTGAGCTACAGAAAGTCCAGTGGTCCCTTTCCAGAATACTGGGTTTAGCTTTCAATGAAAAACACCTGGAAAAATATACAGTAAGAATTACTAGGGATGTAAGAAAAGCAGCCGGAGGGGAATAGAACAGAGTAGCCACCAGCAATTTAACGCCCCAAAGTGGCAGATTCAAAGTCCATCCAAACAGGAAGTGGGGGAAGGGCTGGCCTGACCAACAGAGAAACTGAGTCCGTGTCCCAATGTACCCAGCCCATCAAGGCTTCCTGCCACCACCAGAGAACAAAGGGAGGTGGAGACTGCTGAAGGTACAATTCTTTAAACTAACAGGAGACAGTAAAACCTATGTGACATCCTGGAAGATGATGCTCCCTGCAGTAGTTAACCAGTCAGGAATCAGAGGAGGGACCTTGAGAAAATGCTGTTGCAGGGCTGGACCTGGTGGCGCGTGCCTGTAATCCTAGCAGCTCAGGAGGCTGAGGCAGGAGGATCAAGAGTTCAAAGCCAGCCTCAGCAATAGCGAGGCACCAAGCAGCTCAGAGAGACCCAGACTCTAAATAAAATACAAAATAGGGCTGGGGATGTGGCTCAATGGTCGAGTGCCCCCGAGTTTAATCCCCAGTACCAAAAAAATAATAATAATGCTACTGAAACTTCTCTGAATGTGCCTGTTCACTCAGACACCGCTCTTGCAAAATTGCCCATTAAAACCTTGCCTCCACTGTACCTCATGTCTCTGAGCTCATTCTTTAGGTTTGGGCAGGTGACTATGATTTCCCCTGCCACCGATGCTCATCTTCTACACATTGGCCTTTGAGTAAAGGACAATCCAAATTTATTCCAGGAACATCCTCAATTAACAATTGCCCAGGCCAGGTTGGGAGGAATGTAGAGTTGGAGTTAGGAGGTGTCTAGCTCTGGAGGCTGCAAAAATGTTGCTTTTGGGCTTAATCCATCCTGTGTTGTCAGTGAGCTGGGGGGCAGGTAGGCGCTCAAGCCAGATAGGACTCATATCAAGAGGATGAAAGAAAGACCGACTAAAGGACGGGAAGAGGTGCGGACCTCAGCGGGACAGCCATCTCTCGGTGAGCTTGATTACCTAGAGAAATCTGAACGGTGAGCCACCAAAAAGGAGCTGGAGGAACCAGTCAACTGCAGATACAGGAACCACTTTAGGCAAAATTAGGAGATGTTGTTGCAACCACCCACCAAATGTGAGCTATAAACATGTGTCCCGTGATTTTGCAGAAGTGACGGATGCCAATGTGGGACCAGTCTCTGACATTCTCAGGAACCGAGATGTACCTACCTATCAACCCACTGGGGTGCACAGCAGTTAAAATTACTTGTAAAGTTACCCTAATGACAAGGTCAACACGTAATGCTTTCCAACAATGACAACAGGGTCTGTGCAGAAGGGGAAAAATAACTTATTATAAGCCCAAGACCTTGGAACAAGGTTCTACCTCCACCACTGAGGCTCATTTTATTGTTGTTTTAATTTGCTTTTATTTTCTAAATACATGACAGTGGAATGCTTCACAATTCTTATTACACATATATACCACAATTTTTCATGCCTCTGTTTGTATATAAAGTATGTTCACATCAATTCATGTCTCCATACATGTACTTTGAATAATGATGTCCATCACATTCCACCCTCATTAATAACCCCCTGCCTCTTCCCGTCCCCTCCCTCACCCTGCCCTATCTAGAGTTCATCTATTCTTCCCATGCTCCCTCTCCCTAACCCACTATGAGTCAGTCACCTTGTGTCAGAGAAAACATCTGGTATTTGTTTTTTTAGGATTGGCTAACTTCACTTAGCAATATCTTCTCCCACTTCATCCATTTACCTGCAAATGTTATGATTTT